TAAAAAATTCAAATTTTTTTCATTTGATTCAATCAAACAAAACAAATGCACAAGCAAACACGCAGACAATATACATTCATCTGTCATATTTGATTTTCTATAGGCTAAACAATATTTCATCATCAAACTTTGAATCATATGTAGAATTATGATCAATTCTATTGTTTATACAGCAAAATGAAAAAAGGATTCAGGTTTGTTTTCATTCATTCATATAGTGATGAAAAAAAACTTTTTTCACCTTTTGTCCTTGTTCATCATCACATTTATTTGAATATCTCCTTTTGTTGTTTAATTCAATGCTGATGATGATGTATAGGTGACATACATCACAAACACTGTACAGTATTGTTATTGTTGATGAAAAAAAAATTTCACATCCATACCGAAATGATTCAAACAAAACAAAACAAACAAGTCAGACGCATATTTTATCATAAAATCTATGTAGAGAGAGAGAAAGAGAAACTTTCCATAATTTTTGTTATTGTTATTGGATAGAAAATATGTAAATTATCAAATTTCTAAAATTTCTTCAAAAAGATTACATCTACATCTTGTTTTTTGTCGTGCTTTATTTGCAATTTTTTCTGAATTTTATCATCGGCATCATCAATTTGAAAAAATAATGGAAATTACGCATGTAGTTTTCTGACGAAAATTAAAATGATAATGATGATGATGATGACTAATTAATTGCAATAAGCATCATTTTCTGCTGATTGTAAAATTGAGCAATTTTTGATGTGGATTCATTATCTTTTTGCTGAGCAAATGTAAAATGGTGGTATTGATGACATTGGATGATAAATTTTTTTGTTTCCATTACCACATCTTAGTAGTGAAACTAAAATAAACATCGTTTTTCAGTTTTTGATTTGGTTGGATGAATTAGCAACAAAAACTGATGCTATTTTATCATTCTTTTGAATGAATGAATAGTTTTTCTGTCTGGAATGTGGAGAATATTTTTATTTTTGATTCTTGAAAATAATTTAGAATTTCTGCGATTCTTATCTCTTATCAAAGATTTTTTAAGATTTGCCTTTCTCCAGTCGTAAGGCAAAATAATTTTTTTCAAGAAAAAAACCAAAAAACACAATTTTCGTTTGAATTGAACAAGAAATAAATAAATATGCCAAAATGAGTGTATGTAATCAATCATTCATTTTGGGCTAAATTTTAAAATGACCTGATAATTTGTCAACAAAAACTTTATTTATTTAATTTTTTTGAGTGCAAAACAAAAATTCATATTCAGGTCATCGACAACAACAACAAAACAGCAACCGATATTATTCAATAGCTGAGAATTTAAGGAAAGAAACTTTATGTAAAAATAAAAGAAATCCAATTACAAATATGACAAGATTTCAACTAAAAAAGTGTCAAACAAACGTCCACGTCTATTGTCCTATCTTTTGCAAAAACTAAACTAAACTAATAATTATTACCAGAAAAAAAGGTTTCTCTACCGAAATTTTGTTTGACCTTTTTCCCCGTTGAAGAAAAAAATGATTATTATTAACCCAGATATTATTTTAGTGGATGATAATTTGTCAAAAAACAAAAAATTGACAACAAAAACAGAAAATATTGACCCAAAACCAAACCGAAAATTCACACACATACAAAAAAATTATCGAAAAAACAGAAAACATTATAATCATTTTGAACCCAGAAAAAAATTAAAAATTTTTGAAGCGGAAAAAAATGGACATTTGTAATAAAAAAAAGCGACCAAAAATTTCTTGATGATGATAATAATAATAATGTTTATCTTACTAAATCCAAACTGAAAAAAAATATCATTCAACATAATGAGGATTAAGTACAAGAAAAAATATTTTTATCCAGAAAATTTCCAGAAAACTTTTCCATAAACAATTTTTTTTCCTCACAACACATGCATTTGGAAATTACCTTAACAAATTCCGAAATATTCATCATCATTATTATCATTAATGCTGAATTTGTTACATCAGTAATCATCATCACTATGTTATGTAATCATCATCAGGTATTATTTTCCCGCTTTCCATATGTCGATTTTGTTTTTTTCGGAAATAATAAAAAGATATAGGATATATCTCTCTTCATCTTTGTAGATTTACAAAACAACAACTACTTATTAATAGATAATGATGATTATCTTCATTTTTTTTGTTTTTAGACATTATATTTTTTATGATCATTACCATGATGATAATGTCAATCAAGAAGGCCAAGAAGATTACCTTATGGTAATGATCAAAAAATGATTTCATCAAAGAATCAATTGAGGAATGAAAAATTCATTTTTTTGTTTACTTATCATTCTTATTGATTTTCGCGTCAGAATCGATATTTTCAATCAAAAACGTTAAGCTAGTGAAAAAAGTAATAAGAATCGATTTTTCTCTAGCAAGAAAAACAAACATAGACTGATCTTTTACAGAATATTCTTCTGGGTTTTATTTCCAGAAACACTTGTCATTAAAAAAAAATCACAACAAAATATTAAACGAAATTCAAATGAAAAAAAATCGTTTAAACAAATAATTTTTTCTCTGGTGGGTTTTGATTTATGAGATAATCAAAAATAGAAACTTTTGATCAAACAAACAAACATAATCACAAATCGAATAAAGTTTGTTGTCAAAGAAGAAGACAAAAAAACCAGCAGTGTTTTTTTCGCTCAAATGTTAAATGATGAATCTTCATCAGGTAAGTTTATTTTCAAAGGTAATTTTTCAGTTAGTTGCTTAGGAAGAGGAGGAGGAGGGGTGTGAACTGAAACATCAAAAAAATTATTCCCAATATCCAGTGTCAACCAATATCAGCCAACCGAAACGAACTGTTGACATAAACAAGACACAAGTGGATTTTTGAAAAAATGGAGAGATTGAGAAAGCAAGAGAGAAAGAAAATAATCATCATTTTTTGAACAGGAAAATAAAAATGATTCAAGAAAAAGATTGGCAAATTGTCATAAACTGAAAACCAGAAACCAAAAGAGAGAAAAAGTTGCAAGCAGCAAATGACAATTCGTTGTCGTTGTTGTTAACCAAAATCCAAATAATGATGATGATGAAAACATATCTAAAAATAGAGTTATAAGGAAAAAAATTTGAAATTGAAAAATAAAAAGTTTATGTGAAATTTTTTCGATGAGAAATTTTTTTTTTGCAATGACAACCTAGCGAACAGAAACAGAAAACATCCTCACAATCACAATCGGTCAATAGTGACAATCGATAGTGGTGATGGTGGCCATGTTGCGCAAGAGATTTTTGCTAAATATGGTAACTGAACTTTTAGATTTTTTGAAAAAATAAACTTTTTTAACCATATGATGATGAATCTGATTTTTTTTCCTAAAAATGATAATCATAATAATAATAATGATGATCATCTTCTTCAGATAAAGTTTGAAAAGAAAAAAACCAGCATCAAACGAACCATGACGCCCGACAAAAAAGAATCATTTCAAATGTTGATTTTGATGCTGGCGTTGTTGATGATGATTATGATTATGATGATCATCTTTTTTCCCTATTTTAATGATAATTATCATCAACGACCACACAATATAATAATAATGTTAATGCAAAACATAACAGAACAAACAAAATTAGACCAAAAGATTATCATATGATGGTAAAAAATTTTCGAGAAAAAAATATATAGAGTCTTTTTCATTGTTCAACCAAAGATTAATTATTTGACGATGACGATGTTTTTTTCGGTGTTTGTTTGAACTATATATTTCCAACGTTGAAAAAAATATTAGTTGTCCAATCAGATTTTTTCTAAATATTTCTTTATTGCCCTGCTTAACATCATTGATGTTTTCTGTTTGTTCACTGTCTGCTTGTGTAAGTAAACTTGAAATTTAAACCCGAATAAACAAAACAAAAACTTGCTCAGCAAGTTGAAACTTTGATCATCATCATCATTTGATGATTTCTAATGTCTTTCAATCAGGTTTTTCTTTTCCTATAAAACAACAAAACAAAAACTGACTGACTAATGGTGAGGGTCACACAAATGATGATGACGCCACATAAATTGATCATGACGACGACAACAGCGACGCCTTACACTATATTTCAAAAGATAAGGACCACACAACAACAGCAAAAAGGGTGTCATCATAATTGTTGTTTGAGATTTTCTTTGTTTGGCTCCCAAAAATCAAAATCAATTTAATTGAATAACAAAGAGCGAAGAAAAAATAATTAATTAATTAATTAATTCAATGCGAATGGGAGTGGTGCCTTTTGCTTTTCAAATTGAAATCAAAATGGGCTTGACTTTTTTTGAAAATTGGACAAAACTTTATTATTATTATAATCATAAATGATGATGATTAAATCTCCATTGATAAAATTCAAATATTTACAATATGACCAAATTCATTCAACGATCATGATGGCTATGATGAGTGAGTGTGAATTGAAATATTCAAATATAGAAAATAATTAATTAATTATTGGGTGTTTCTGTGTGATGTGGGAGTGGACAATGATGATGATGATGATTAAGGGGAGTGTATGTGATTCGTAATTTTTTCCCCTTGGTTTTTCTTTTGGAAAAAAACAACAAATTCATATAATATATATGGAGCTCATTTTGTATTTTGGTGTATTTTTCGGTAGGGAAAAAACAAAATGAACAGAATTTAACATTTTCGTTGTTTTTTGGTTTGTTAAATTTTTTAAATTTAAATTTTGGCTTACAACAATGATGATGATGATTTTTTTTCGTTTCTTAAATATGGCTACTTGGTTGGTTATATAAATGATGCTGGATACTTGTATGTATATGAGAGTGTGTGAGTGTAAATAGTTTTTGGACTTTTGTAGGAAAATTCAGAAGAAAAATCAAGAAAATTTAAAATGTTTAAACCGGTATCTCTCCAAACAATGCCAAAAAAAGAACAGGGTATGGGCGTGTTGGTTTTTCTTTGTTATTAAATCAAAATGAAAGGTGTTGAAAAAATCTGGCAATCAATCAAAATCGATAAGAAAAAAAATTGACATTTTTAAAATGCTATGTATTTAAAAGATCCCTTGACCTATGTGTGTGTGTGTGTCTTGTTGATTTGACTTTTTTTGAGGCAGAATTTTTCATTTCAATTGAGAATTGTATTTGTTGTTTAAAGTGCAACTGTTGTTTGTCCACGTTGTTGTCCACCGCCACCAATATTACCAATCATTAATGATCCGGTTATTGATTGCGGAGATGCAGGCGTCAATGATGATGAAGCTGATGCGGATGATCGTTGAATTGCGGCAACATTTACTGCACTATAATAATAAGGATCTTTTGGAAAAAAATTTCAAATTTAGTTAATTCAATTGGAATCAAGTGCGAGGAGGGTTAAAATAGAAGCATACTTATAAGCGTTTGATTGGTTGTAGGTGTACCGACAATACCACCATTCGGTGATGATAAATCACCAAGATTATTATTATTATTTCCTTGTTGTGATGAATATGGTGATGTTGTTGTTGTTGAAACTGTTGATACAGAAGAAGCAGCAGCGGCAGCTGCTGCTGCTGCTGCACCATAATTTGATGTTGCATAATAACCATGATATGCAGCGGCTGCATAATAATCACCGGTTGCTGTATTTGCACCTGAATAAATCAAAACAAAATAGAATCGATTAGTAAAAATGTGATTCTTTAAGAATCGATTGATAATAAAAATCAAGTTTCCTCAATTCATGAAGGCGGCTTTTTTTTGTTGCTTATGTTGCACCAAATTGATGGATGACAAACAACAACAACAACAACAAGTGAGAATTCACAAAAATGCACGCAATCTAAAATCAAATCAATAACAAACGATGATCTACCTTGGGCGAGCGTGTCATCAAAAAATTGGTTTTATTTATTTATTTTTCATTGAAATAGTTTGATTGCGTGACTATTGATACTTAATTTAACAGCAGTGATAAAATATTAATAATAATGACGCCAAATAAACAAACAGCAAATAACAAACCGACAGTGATTGCAACATAATCAACAACAAAAAAAAGAGAGAAAATTTTTGATTTGATTTTTCCAAAATAAAAAACATTTATTGTTTCTCCTCCCTTTTCACAGTACAAACAAAAAACATCGCTGTGAAACATTTAGAATCAAATCGATCCAAAATTATAAACGAAACAACATTCTAAATTGAATTCAAAAAGTAGTAGGTCATTTGAAATGATTAATGACCAAAAGAAAATCAAAATATCAAGATAATTATTATTTTAACCTGATTGATTTATTTATTTTTGTTTGTTCAATGGAACAAAATTGCCATTATTTACTGTCATTTTTTGTTTGTTTGGTTGGTTGAAAATTACATAATAGTTGTCGATGCTGTTACACACAATTATCTCAAAAAAATCAAATTCGACTGGATTTTTTCTTTCATTTATTCAGAAGAAAATTTGTTTGGAAAAAAAATGATGATGACCCATTATTTGATGTGATCGTGAAAGCACCCAAACAGCCAACAATAATCAGGATAATCTAGTTCCGTGATCTATATGATTTTTTTTTTTGATTCGAAATTGAACTTGAATTCAATTTCAAATTGATCGATTCAATCAAATAGTGAAATAATTTGCCAATTGCGAAAGATAGAGATAGAGAAAAATAAAATGGCCAATTTACAATCAATTTTCTCTCTCTTGCACCAACAAAACCAAACGAAATGAAACATCAATTTTCTTTTTTTCTTTTTTGCTCACAGCTCATAAAAACCCGATTCAAAACAGGCAAACTAGGATTCTCAATTTTTCCATAAAAAACAAACTCTATAAATAATGGATAAAATAACAACAACAACTACAAGTGAAAGCTAATTACAGTTACTTTGTGCCGCATCCGATGTAGGGAATCGAAGAAAAATATCATCATCAAATCCAACACCCAAAAAAATCCAAGGCAATCAAAGAAATAGAAACAAGAGAGAAAGTCGAAATAGTGGAAACAAACGGAACGAAAATCAAATCGGTTTTTTTCATTGCTGCTTACATCATCGTTTATTTATTAACCCTTTTCTCTCTCTCATTCATTCATTTACTCAACTTTATTCACATTCTAAAAATGACAGGAATAATGAATCTTTGACTATCAAACTCAAATTCAAATAAAAAACTCGTCCTGCTTTATATTCATACACAAACTACAAACACATTACATGATGATGATGATCAGTGATGCGTTCATTTTATTATTATCATCATCATTATGACTTGGGTAGTATATGAATGATTCTTTTCAGTTAGTTTATTCTGTACAACCAAACACACATACTGTGAGTTCTTGATTTCAAGTTTTGGGAGAAAGGCAAGTGAACTTTTTTCTTTTCTGTTTCGATTTACAACATACAATGAATATAAAGACAGAGAAAAAACTTTGCAATTTGCAGTGTGCATTATGGTTGTTGTTGTTGTGAGCACACACAAAGACATTATCGATGTTAAAATAGTGTTCTTTGCCTTCTTGGTAGATTATTCAGAAATGGCGCCCTGCCTAGCGTGTTTTTTCCCCAGGATTTTTCATTCGTTCATTTTTTGTTGTTCGAAAATTCAAATGGAAATATTTTTTCAAATTTAAAATATACCCACATCATCATCGTCATCATACAGGATGAAAATCCTCAAGAGATTTACCGATTTCATAAAAAAAATTCATGATAGAATTTTGTTCATTTCAATTTCAAATGATTCTAACTTTTTCATTCGTTTGACTTTTCTAAATGATGTTTGTTCGGTTTTTTGAAAAAATTTTTTCATTTCAACTTTTTCAAAAACTAAATCATCAGATATAAATAGCAAAAAAAAAACGAAAAGATTACCCACAAAAAACAAACAAACAAAAATTTACTTTTTTTTAAACGCGCCCACACAAAAGTTCAAAATGATGATGATGATAAACAGAAAAAAAGTTTATCATCATCAGATACTGTCCTGTTTACTTTTACAATCATAAACATCATCGTTTTTATAAACACCACCAACCATATCAGCCAATCAACCGACTCGAATCATTGTCGAAAGGAGGAGCCAAATACAATGTGAGCGAATGAGAGAAAGATAAGAAAGCAAGACAAGAAAAGAACATGGACCAATTGCAAAGATGGAAAAAAGTCAATGAGGCGTGACCATAAACTATTGATCGATCCAATAAGAAGAAGATGCTTAGTTTTTTTCTACTATCTCTTACAACTATTAGTATTATTACCACTACTACAAGTGTAACCAAAAGAACTTCTATTTTCAATGCCACTACAACTACACAATCAAAAACAAAAACAATAGTTTTTTAAGTTGAACAAAAATTAAGAAAAATTTCTTGAAAAAAAGATAAAATCAAAATTCGTGAGAACTCATCATCATCATCGAAGTCAAAACAATAGGCTAAATATTCTGTTCGATGTGTGTGTGTGTGTGTGGGATTCTGTAATTATCAATTCGATTGTTTTTGTTTTTTTGAAAATTTTTTTGAAATTTCATTTTGAAAATGTGAATTTTTTTTTGTTGAATGAATCAAAATTGAAAATTATCGTTATTGTTATTATTTAGGAAGGGCAATAAATTGGAAAAGATCAATTATCATCGACACATTTTGATTGTCGATCGATCGATAATCGATTCCCACGATTTTTATCGAATGGAGAACAACAACACTTGAAAACCCTTTTTATGTTTTTTGTTTTTGGCCAACCGGTTCATCATCATCACAATGAATGAATTGAATTAGAGAGAAAAAAAGGGTCAAAGTTCACAAATTATCAAAGGTTCCTTACACTACCTCACAAGTTGATTTACCGACAAAGAAGACAATTAAATTTTTTAAAAAAGTTCATTTTTGAAATTTTTTTCCAACAAAAAAAAAATTTAGAAAATTCAATTCCAATAACAATACTTTTCTATCAATGATTTTCCTTGAACAAAAAAAATCATAAAAGACAATTATGATGATGATAATGATGATGGCCATTGCCATTGCCAATCAATCAATCAATCAACACAGTCAAAAAACGAAAATCAAATTATGATTCCGATCCGATTGAATCGATTCACATCAACAACAACAACAATCCGATCAGTAACCTCGATACAATTATTGGCTTTCAAAGTAATCAAAGCCATCAGCTAGTTTTTTTTCATAAATTAAAAATTTATTGCTAGAAGCTTCTATGCAACAAACAAAAATTGACAGACTTTGAAAATTAAGAAAACTGAATAAAAAATTTATAAGATTTCCCCAAAAAGATTAAAACAGCTACATTTGACATAGAGATGAAATTGCAAATTTTAACCAAAAAAAATCAATCCTTAAACTTAGAAAATAAGAAAGATAAAAAAACGCAAGACAAGGATATCAAAAGAGAGAGAAGGCTGAAATGAACCATTATCATTGAAATTGACAATTTGAAATTAGAAATGGAAAAACTATGAATGAAATTGGTTGTTTGTTCGTAATGAAATATTGAAATGAAATTCAAAATTGTTCGTTTCCTGGAGTTTCTATCCACACATCTAGTCTACTATTTTATCGTAAAAATGATATTTTGAAATTGAAAAAATAAAAATGAATGTTGTGAATGAAGTGCAAAAAAATGGAAAAATAAACACCAGCATTTGTTATAATTGTCTTTTTGTGGATATAGCAAGTGTGGTAGTTGATGATGATAATCATAGACAACACCGACAATGATTATTATGATGATTGTGATGATGACGACGACGACAAAAGGCCGCCAGCAATTTCTATCCGTCTCTCTTGTTTTTCCTCATTCACAAAAATAAAATATAATTTTTCCTGAATGGAAAAATAAAAAAATCAAGGTACTACTAGGGTCGAAATGGTCTCTACCTGGCAATAATGACCCTTCTGATCAGCATCAAGAATTCTCATTATTATTAAATCATAGACGGACAACAAAAAATGAAACAAGGTCGGCGCTTCATTCATTGAAAGAAATACAAAAATAAGTGTTGCGGTCTAAGGTTAAAGTTCATGAGAGAGAAAAGGAAGACAATTACTATCGAATGGCCGATAGACACAAATAAGGTGAAGATGTTTATGTGATGATTATTATGATGTGGTTGTTATTGTTGTCCAACAAAATTGAATTCAACAACAACAATTTTTTGAACAAAAATAGGATTTTCCAAAACAAACTTACCAATTGGTGGTGTATATAAAGTTGTTGTTTCATAATGATGATGTCCACCTGGTATCGATGCAATTGCACCGGTTCCAATTGGAACACAACCGCCGCCACTGCCAATACCATTAGTTGAATGATGAGATTGTTGAGAAAGCTGTTGTTGCTGTTGATGTTGCGAAACCGGAATTAATAATTGTTGTTGTTGATGATCATTGAGTAACTGTTGCTGTTGTTGATGCGTGGGTGTTGTTGTCGTTCCACCATTTTCATTAATCATATCCGGTGAATGATGAGCACCAACACCACCATCTAATACAGTCCAATATTGATATTGTTGTTGTTGCTGTTGGTGAGAATGATGATGAGAATGATGCGGATGTTGTTGCTGTTGATGTGAATGAGGATGCGAATGTTGTTGTTGACTATGAACAATATTATTATTATTGGCTGTTGCTGATGTGGACAATGTTTGTTGTTGTTGTTGAGATCCAGCTGAAATAGCTGAAACTGTAACAGAAAATGGAGGTAATAATGTTGTTGATGCAGATGATGATGATGATGATGTGGACACATCTGCTGTTGTTGTCGTTGGCGATATTGCTGTTGTTGATGATGATAATTTTTTATTTGGACAACCAATCATCGATACTGTTGTTGTAGATGATGCCGTGGATGATGATGCGGATGCTATAGATTCTCTGTTCGTATCATTAAGAATTAATATGGATCCTGAATCATCATGTATGGCATTATTATTATTGTTGGTTGTTGATGATGATGATGTTTTCGTTATTTTGGTTGGTGATACGGATCCAGCATTGGATAACGATGATGTAACACCATTCAATTGATTTGAATTCGTATTGGCAACCGTATTGTTCTGATTGTCTGCAATCGGAATGATAAGAATAAAAAAAATGAGCAAAAATAATAAAAAAAATCCCAGAAAAATAAGTGATTCCCAAATACAACAACAAATCGGTTGTTTCAATGTTTTTCCAAAACAACCAAATGGGACCAAAAATCAAGCCAAACAAACATACAAAAGGTCATATTCAATTCAAATGATGATGACTAAATTGACTCTTGGGAGTCAAAGAAACAATTCATTTTCGATTTCAATTTCTAGATTTGTGACATACACACACACACGTGTCCCGTTCATTTCTATCCAAATGTGGTTCATATTTTTTTTGAATTGTCAAAACACCACATAGTATCCATTGTGAAAAAATGAACAAGCAGGGTCTTCTATTTCGGCTTCATTTATACGAAGCCGAGGAGTTGGATGACAATGTCAAAATAGCCAATGAATTTTTTTATTTTATTTCATTTTTTCAATCAAATGTCGAATCCATTAAAATGTCATCAATAATGATGATCATCATCATTACTAGTAGCAAACTACCACCAGACTGTGTTATTACTCTCTAAAAGTTCCCCCTCTACAACAACAACAAAAATGTCACTGAATGCTACGCAAGCTAGCTAGCGCAGCGAGCTGAAAATAAAAATCACAGAATATATATCAGATGTTTCCGAATTTCATTCAAATGACAAACTGGAAAAAAAATTCAGCTGCTACCGAATATCAAACAATAATAATGATGATTCTATTGGGGATTTTCCTAATGTTAGCAAAATACCAATCGTTATTTTATATTTGTAATAATGTCGGTTTTATTGCTCATTTTCCTCATTCGTTGTATCGTATATCGTTTTTCAATTCAATCTTGTCACTTCAATTTATTATTATTATTTTTTGTTTTTGTTTTCGGTAACAATATTCTTTCTAACCAGAAGAATGAAAGTGAAAAATAATGAAAATTAAATCTAATTTAAAGCAAAAAACAGAACATTTCAACAACAATATACATTTGATACATGATATGATGATTGATTGGATCAAAATAGTTCAATTCAATCCAGGTTTATCTCTATGGGGAAAATATTCACACTTTTCAACCAATTGAATTGAATTGTCAATTTTGATTTTATGTTTTTGTTGATATTATCATCATCAAACCAAAATATTATCAAACAAAAAGATTATCAACAAAGCACCTCCACCACAATATTAATGTGCTTTGTGTGTTTGTTTGTTTGGCTTTCAATCAATCAGAGAACTTACCATCAAGATCAAGTAATGTACGTTTCATTGAACGTGTTGATTGCTGCTGTTGTTGTGGATGTGCATGTTGCTGTAAAAATTGATGATGATGTTGTTGTTGCTGTTGGTGATGTGGATGATGATGATGCGGATGATGTTGATGATGTGAATGTAAATGATGTAAATGTTGATGATGCGGATGATGATGTGAATCAGGTGAAACTGAATCAATGCCCAAAATTCCATTTATTGAGTATGTTGCCATTGGTGTTGTTGATGACGATGATGCAGATGTTGTTGATGCCGATAAAGAAGTAGATGATGCGGCTATCGATGATGTTGAGGATGATGATGCTTGTACAATTACCGATGTTTGATTCGATGATGATGATGAATTATTAACACCTCCAACACCAATATCACCAACATTATTATTATTATTACCACTACCATTAACTAAATCATCAGTTTTGATTGAATTTGGACTAATCATTGATGGACTTGATACATTTGATGAGGAAATTGAACCAGATTGTGGTGAATTTGCTAAATTAANATTTGATACATGATATGATGATTGATTGGATCGAAATAGTTCAATTCAATCCAGGTTTATCTCTATGGGGAAAATATTCACACTTTTCAACCAATTGAATTGAATTGTCAATTTTGATTTTATGTTTTTGTTGATATTATCATCATCAGACCAAAAGATTATCAAACAAAAAGATTATCAACGAAGCACCACAATATTAATGTGCTTTGTGTGTTTGTTTGTTTGGCTTTCAATCAATCAATCAATCAGAAAAGAACTCACCATCAAGATCAAGTAATGTACGTTTCATTGAACGTGTTGATTGCTGCTGCTGCTGTTGTGGATGTGCATGTTGCTGTAAAAATTGATGATGATGTTGTTGTTGTTGGTGGTGATGTGGATGATGATGATGCGGATGATGTTGATGATGCGAATGTAAATGATGTAATTGTTGATGATGCGGATGATGATGTGAATCAGGTGAAACTGAATCAATACCCAAAATTCCATTTATTGAGTATGTTGCCATTGGTGTTGTCGATGACGAAGATGCAGATGTTGTTGATGCCGATAAAGATGTAGATGATGCGGCTATCGATGATGTTGATGATGATGATGCTTGTACGATTACCGATGTTTGATTCGATGATGATGATGATGAATTATTAACACCACCAACACCAATATCACCAACATTATTATTATTATTACCACTACCATTAACTAAATCATCAGTCTTGATTGAATTTGGACTAATCATTGATGGACTTGATACATTTGATGATGATATTGAACCAGATTGTGGTGAATTTGCTAAATTAACAAGATTTAAATTTCCGTTTGTTGTTGTTGTTGCAGTTGTTGATGATGAACATGATGAATGATTAGAATTACCATTTTGATGTTGATGATTATTTTGATGATTATGATGATGATTTTTAGCTTTTTCAGCTGCTTTATTTCTAACGATACGGTTAATACTTGATACTGATGGTATATTATCAGCATCACAAATACCATCAGCCAATAAACGATCACGTATTTCCCATGCAAACATTGTTGGATTGGATTTTTTATAATTAGCAATAGCATCGACTACTTTTGGTGTTGCTACTTTTGGTTTCGATCCACCAATTACACCCGGTTTTATACTACCCGTTTCATAATATCTATGGGTAACATAAGAAATGTATTTCAAAAAGAATTTTAGATGTTGTTAATGGACAAAAATATTGAATAATTTATCAAAACAAAAACAAAAATCTTGCCAATGCAAAAGTTCATTTTTTCTATGTGAAAAAAATTCTCTATCTTTCACTCAATTCACTAAAAACATTTTATGTACATTTTTTGTTTGGAAACATTGAATCAAATTAGCTTAATTTTGTTATTAATATTATCATCATCATTTCCATGATCACTATCTATCAAGCTATATCTTTTTTCTCTGTGTTTGGAATTTTTATCTTTTTATCTTTTTTTTTGTTTTCGTTTGGATACAACAACCCAAAACATATAGCAAATATATAGAGTCTATATATATGGTCAAACAAAAAACAAAAATTCTCATTCTGTTTCACTATGGCTTATGATTCATAAAATTTATGAATTCAAAAAAAAATTCTCCATTTTTTCAAACATTGAATGATTGTCCTTCTCTTCTTCTATATTCAGATTGAGGGGTAGAGAGGGTGAAAGAGAAAAAGGAAGAAAATACGTGATATGGTTACACACGGATGGACATTCAAGTGAAGTATTATACCACCATTCTGATGATGATGATGACGATAAAAGTGAATGCGCTTCTTTCAAATAACATTGAGTTTTTTTTTTGACTTTTTCAAAAAAACTTTCACTCGAAAAAAAAAATTCGTCGACAACGCCCAGAATAAGAACGAATTGCGAAAAATTTCTTATTATTCTTGGCAACAAAATCAAAAAACATTAAGAATTTTTTCATGCGAAACGCAAACATTTTGTTTGCGTTTTCAATGTTTTAAAGATGATGAATGATAAAAAAAAATTTATTCTATTCTATTAAATGACTTACCTTCCAAGTATTTTACTAACACATCCATGCGATACACGTAGCTGTCGAGAAATATCACAGGGTCGTACACCTTGATGAGCTAATTCAACAATTCGACTACGAACAACATCCGGCAATGGTCGACCATTTACAAATACACCGCCCAATTGATTAACACCACCATGGCCTATTTGAATTGACAGAAAATTAAAAGAACAAAAAAATTTAAAATCAACCAAAATAAAAACTTTTTAAAAAAATCAATTTTTATAAAAAAAAGGAAAAAAAATTACAAGAATAATATTCCATCATGGATGCATTATAACGATATAATGAAATATCCATGATTTTTACTGTTGTTTTTGTTTTTGGGAAACAAATTTTGTTATGATTAAATGATGATTTTGTTTGATGATAATGATAATTGGACAAATTTTCAAGTTCAATTCACACATACACGTGGCTTTTTTTTGATTATTTTTAACTTTGGACAAAGAAAAAAAGATCAAAAAACCATCATCATCCAAAATCATTCAACCTTGATTGATCACGTGTGTTTCAGTTAGTTTTGTTATATAAATGTTTAGTCGTTTTGTTGTTCAAATTCAATTTCTTATCTCAATCAATCGATTCACACACACAACATCAAAGTCAAAAGAGAATGAAAAATATGAAAAGAAAAAAAAACAAAATTCTGCAACGTAAAAGATAAGAGAGATGGAAAAAAATTGTAGAATCACAGAAACAACCAGGGTCATTCAAAAAAATGATGACCTGTCTTCCTGGGATGATGATAATAATGAACAAAATGTAGGGTAAGAATTTGTTTCGGTTCAATTCGGTTGAATCAGAAAAAAAGTGAAAATTGGATTGAAACTTGATGGATGGCTGGCTGGTTAATGTTTTGGATTGGATTGGATGCACAACGATTCACATCGATTCACATGTCTGGATGAATGGTTCGGTTGATTTGTTCAATGATCATGATCATCATTCGGTGAAAGTTGGTGCGAAAAGATGCGATTCAATCAGAACAAAAACAGAAAAAGAAAAGAAAAACGCACTGGTAATGATGGTCAACTGATTTGTCTTGATGGCGGGTAGTAGCGGTAAGATTATCACCTTTTCAGCGTGTAAAGCTTGAATGATCAAAATTATTTGGTTTAGTGCATTCTTCAACAAAGAACAACAAAATGATTCACCATCAACCAGTGATCGTTGGATCGAATCGGATCTGGATGAACGGATGAATGGTTGGTCGGATTTTGTAGAAAAACGTCATCTCATCTCATTGAATTGTCCGAATTTTTCATTGTCATCTTCTGGGGTTTTCTGGTTTAGTCAGCCAGTCAGTCACTGTTGAAATAGCCGAACCAAAAAAAAAGTGAAAATGTACAGTTTTCAACCAAATATTTCTGGGTTGTTGTCCTGTAACGGGTGTTTGGTTTAGTTTGGTTTGGTTGACTGATGTTGATGATGATTGTGTGTGTAGGTGGTGATGGTGGTCAATCGTGTGAAACGACTTGTAACATTGCCCCTTTCATTTTTTTTTGCAAAAAAAATCATCAAATTGACATCACTGACAAACACCAAACAAAAAACATCGACAAAATTCAAGATGCGGAAGAATGGACAACAACAACAACAATAAACAGACTGGTGTAGGATAATCGGGTTCTTTTCTGTGTCTCTAAAGACAAGAATTCAAACTGAAAAGAAAATAGTGAAAACAAAAACTTTGAAAAAAATATTCTTGAAACTTGGTTTGGTTGTTTTTTTCATGGATAAAAATGGATGAATAATTTCTTTCACTGATTCGATCGTTTGACGCATCTTTTTTTCATTTTCTTTTCTTCTATTTTATTTTTCAACATTTTCAGAATTCATATTCTGGCTGTATGAAATATCTCATTTACCGATTTTTTTCCTCTTCACTTCAAACAAACCAATTGAATATGATGGTGGATTATTATATATAACATTCATATGTGCAATACGCCTTTGTAATTTTTCGTTGTTGAAAAATTGTTAAGCATAATACGCATGCGTTTAATTGATATATATGTGTATCATCATCATTACATGTCATGGAAACGTAGAATTTTTGTCCGTAATGTATATCTGAATGAAATAAAATGTGGGATGCAACGATCTATGGATCTTCCCATCATCCCAATCATCTAAATCATCATCCATCAGTGTAATCTGCTCACTTTTTGATATTTAGAATTGTCATTAAATTCACAAAAATATATAATAACCGAGTAATGGTAGTAGTGGTAAATATGATGATTAATTCGGTAAAGAGAGAAATACATTCAATGAAAATCATTGTTACAGATTCTCCATAGTTTATATGTTTGACTATGGAAAATACAATATGATTATTATCATCATGATAGTAGTAGTAAGGTAAAGGTATAGTATGGAATATGGCGTCACAGAATAATTCTGGATATTCTAATCATCACAACAATGGGATTCCATTACGAACAGATTGACTCACTTGACCCTAGCTTTTTTATTTACAAAAAAAAGCATGAAAATTTACCGGTTGAAACACAAAGAATGGAAAAAATGATAGTTTTGCGAAAAATAAAACATCATTTTACCAAAGTCGTTGTATAATGATAATGAAAATAATGATGATGATGATAAGATTTGTTCATTAAGTAAATGGAATCATCATCATCATTATTTCCCAATAGAGAAACCTGAACACCACCACTCCTTGTTCCTGAATCTTTGTTCAAAAAAAATTACTATTATTGCAGGAACATTATTCAGATCTCTCTATGGATCATAATCATAATCATCATTATTATCAATGTCATTGCCTTTTCGGTTGATCACAAAAGATATTACAACCAACAGAAAAAAAAACATTGTTGTAATCAATTTAATGATGATGATGTTCATTTTATTTCAATTTGATTCGATGATGATAAAGACCAGAAACTTTTTTTGTTATTGTTTGGATTTGCTGGACACACGTGTTTTGTGGAAAAAAATCCAGATTGAAACCAGACACACACAATTTTTTTTGTAGGTAAAAAAACCGACTTAGAAATAATAATTATAATGATTATATTTGAAGGTTAGTAATTACCATGATCAGTATATTTAGTAATGGTCAAAAAATAAGAAGAAATTTTTACTTAATAATAACCTTGTTGAAGAAAAATGGTTATAAATTACCAATAATGATTATGATCGGAACCTATGATGATTGATCTGGTTGATTAGTGTGGTTTGCGTGTGATAATTTGTCAACGAGTTTTCGTTTGTTTGAATAAAAACAAGGTTCAGGTAAATTTTTTTTTGAAAAAATTTTCAACGTTGGCGGCGGCGGTAAACAAACAAACAAACAAGGTGTCAATTGAGTGATGAATCTAATCTAGTTTACATCGATATCACCTTTGAAATTATTTCAGTGATGGTGGTCCATCGAAGATGATTAACATGGTGTGGGTGGTCCATTTGGAACGTTGTTTTTTTGGTAGAAACATTCAAAGATGATGCCATCAATGGATCCAATGGAAATGGCAAAAAACAACAAAAAAAATTGAAATTTTCATTTGAAAAATTTTTCTTTTTGTTGTTTGTTTGAAAACAAAAATGAAATTGAAATTGAAAAAATTGAAAAAGTTTTTTTCTGATTCAATTCCCAATCGTGCAATTGGGAATTATTCTCGGAATTTATTACCCGAAACTTTTTGTGTTTAGGAAACTGGTAAAAATATTTTGTTAACCCAGTATTCTAACTTGGAACATAATTGAAAAAGAAGAATTTTTTCAATAAGTTTTTCATCATTTTTTATTCTTGGTAAAGAAAAACGATAATCAATTAGAGGCTTTCATCATCATCAACGATGAAAAAACCATTAATTTGAAAAAATTGAAAAAAATTCATCCATATCTATTCAAATTGCTTTCTAATGACAAAAATTGATTTTTTTTTTGTGGAAAACTTTCTCTCACGCCTCATCGAAAAACAAACACATAAAGGGTAAATTTAGTCAAACGAACAAAATAATCAATTCTTGAGAACAGAATTTAATTGATTCATTTCCGATTGTCAAAAGGATCAGAGAAAAAAACCAACTAAATCAAACCAAACCAGTCAAACTAACTGGCTAACGATCATTATCATTTTCTCAAAACGATGATGACTTTATCAATCAATGAAAACATGTGAATGAATTAGATTCAAGCCACTTATTTATTCATTCATTCACTCAAACGAATTGAACGGAAATTGGCTTATTTATAAACTTCAAACAAACACACATACACACTACTCATTCACTCGGTAGGAGACAACACACAAACCAACAACAAAAAAAGAAAAGAAAATCATTAAACATCGATTCGAAAAACATCATGTTTTGCAGTGAGCAAGAGAATAAACTGAGCAAAGAACAAAGAAATTGATTCTATTCTTTCATTTTGAATCTTTTTTGGTTCGGTTCATCATAATCAAAGTGAAATGTGAAAATTTTTTTCCGGTTGCAATTCTTTTCGAAACATAACTGTGGATCCCTTTTGTGATAGGTCAACCATTTTCATTGATGGATCGAAAACAGCGACCAAAAAAAAATGTCAAAGTTCTAAAGGTCTGAAGAAAAATTGACTTGTAAAGAGCAACAAAGCAAAAAGTCATCATGATTGTTATAAGACACGCGTCTGATGTGTTTGGTTGCTGTGTGTATTTCATTCTTTTTTCTCGAAAATAAAATTATAACAGGACACGTGACAATTTCTTTTTTGAACGTACCGCCAATGTATCACATACAACAACGAAAAAATGTTATGTTCATTTCATTGGATGATGATGACTAATTTTTTTGTAAAATTTCTCAACGAATGATGATGTGATGTGAAGGAAACCTTTTTTTTCATTCATTCATTTTATTTCAATTCAGGCCTGTCAAAGAATTACAATTCGTTACGAATCATTTCATTTATGAATTTCTCCTATAGATTATTTTTTAAAACTGCAAACATAAAATTTGACCATTCGAATAAAAAATATAAAAAAAATGATTATTTTGATTCTGCTGCACATTTTTGTTTTGATAATGTTATTTCCTTCCTTCCGGAAAAATGACCAATTCGTTCTTTCTACCATCACGATAATCATCGTCCAAAATCGAAAATCGAAATTGGAAAAATCGATAAATGTCTCAATCGAAATAAAACAACGATGGTTTCAATTCTTTTACTGCTGCTATACTGGCGATTTTTCACTTTCGTATTCCCTCTTTGCTCAAAGATCTGGATGAATGGATGGACGAACACACACACACACACATAGACAAACTTCATAGAATTCTTTCTTGAATGACTGTGATTAACGTTCCGCAACCATGGATTCCTTTTTTCACTAAACCTTACGATAATAAACATAGAGAAAAAAAACTGGATCATCATCAATTTGTTTTCATTTAACTTGGTCAACGAGAAAAAAACATTGATAAAATTCTTTATTTTGATTTTTGAAAAAGGGAAAAAAAATTTCCAGAAAATAAAATTCTTATTTGTCATTGACATTGGCCTGATTGAAAGTGAAAAAAATAGGAAGTTTTTTTATTGAATGGAAATTCGTGTGGATGGATGGATAAACCGTCCGTAACCGTCATGCATCATCGTTGTGTGTTATGATCGTGATTGGTTGTTGTTGTTAACCACGATTTGCCTGGTTAACTTCATTGTTTTCTTTTTCTTTTTGGTTCAAATAAGGAAACAAAACAAAACAAAAGTAAGGTAAACAAAATCATATGGTCCGTATCTTTGACACGAATTATCATCAAGATCATCATTTTCATGCATCAAAGAAAAAAACATCAAAAATAAAAGTGACAATTTTGAAATTGAAATATTCTAAAAGATTCTAGGTCAGTAATAATATGCTAATCTCATTGAAATGATGTTTTTTTCCACCCTCAATGCTTACCACAACATTCCATTTCAGGCGAACAAAACATCTCTAATCTAACCTAATCTAACCCTAATCGATAGGTCCCTAACTTACGTTTTTTCTTACTAGATACTGGTGATGGTGTTGATGGTGTTCCCGTTATTGTTGTTGTCGATGATGTTGTTGCTGTTGACGACGTTGTTGCTGTTGTTGTTATTGTGGATGAAGATTTAGATGATGATCCATGATGATGAATATTTGTTGCTGTTTGATTATCATTATCATTATTATCATCATCGTTATTATTATTATTATCATTACTAGTTGTAATTAGAATTGTTGTTAATTGTGGTGAATCAAGTTGTGTATATTGCTGTTGTTGAATCGATGTGGATGTTGTTGTTGATGGTATTGCCCCGGTTAATGTTGTTAGTGTTGTTGTCGTTGATGATGATGCAGATGATGATGACGGTGATAATGATGAATGCGGCAACGATGGTAACAAATGATGATGTGAAAACATTGATGCATTATTATGATTATGATTACCATTTAATGTTAATGTTAATAAATTATTTTGATTTTGATTCATCATCAATAATGTACCATGATCAGGTGCTTCATTTGCTAATAAACCATTTGTTGCTTGTTGTAATAGATCTGGATGATTATGATTATTATGATGAGGATGATGTGGATGATGATGCATTATTGTTCCATGATATTGTATTTGTGGTTGTTGTTGTTGCTGTTGTTGAAAAAGTTGTTGTTGATGTGAATGATATAACGAATCTGAATGACTCATTATATCATTGTATGATGCATGATGTGAATGATGACCACCATTATGATTCAAATGATATTGATTATGATGACCATTTTGATTTAAATGTTGCAAATTATTATTATCATTATTATTATTTGAATGATGATGATGATGTAATTGTGATTGATGATTGGAAAATTGTTGCGATACATGATGCGGATGTGTATGATATTGATGACCGGTTGTGGTTGAATAACCAATCATTGCGGCAGCTGCAGCAGCTGCTGCTGCTGCCGCTGCTGATACCGAAGTTGTTGTCGATGACAACGATGATGATGATGATGATATCGATGTCGATGTTGATGGTGACGTTGCTGATGGTGATGATGATGATGAACCTGCAATAGGATACGAGGTAATATATTCCGAATGTATTAATGTATCATTCATTTTTGATGTTTTTCTTTGGTTGGTTAGTATCAACACACGTGATTAGAAACAAATATATTTGACATTGATGAAAAACTTTCGAGGTCAAAGGAAGTGATCAGGGAAACAAAACAAAAAAAGAGATCATCATCGAAATCAGGTATCGATAGAATCGATTAAAATCAAAAAAAAATTTAAACAACCAGAAAAAAAAGAGTCACACACATACACAATTTGGTTATTTTCTTTGGTTGATTTGGTGGTAAAAAAAATTATCGTTAATCGATTTTCATTTGGTTTGGTTGGTTGACTGGCTCTCCAATGGATCAAATCAAATTGATGATTGTCGCCATTCGGTAGTTGTTGTTGCTATTATCGGATTCGAATGGTTGATTCGACTGATTGAATCAAAAATGCCCAAATGAATGAATGAAACAACATAACAACAACAACAAAAATTTAAATGTCTCTTTTTCTCACCAACAACAACAACAATCGACCAAACCAAAAAACAATTGTCACCATTGTCAAGACATTGTCAACATACTGGATTCTCCACCTTTTTTTCCAATAAAAAAAAGAACATCACCAAGATGAAAGAGAGAGAGATAGAAACTTTTTACGAAAAAGAGAAACAAAACAAAAAAAAAAATACTGGTTAACAGGTTTTTCTCAGTGAATCAAACCAAACCAAATGAAACACACAAGTGTCACATCAAACATCACATACACACAAAAACACCAGTTGCCTGAATGCCGAATTAGATCTGATCAGGATCTGGTTCGGTTAGTTTTTTTTTTGTTCTCCAAAGCTTAGTTAGCATTTTGGTTGGTTGTCTGACTCTTTTCGTTTCTGCTTCAGATGAATTCTACCTGGCCAATATTATTATCATCGTCAATGGATGTGCAACAGATGTGTGTGCGTGTGTGAAGTAAAATTAACGCCCAATATAGGCAGGTATATCGTATAAATAGAATGATGCTGTGGTGGTGGTGGTATTTTAGCTTCGAGGTTTTTGATGGAGGCTGTCCTCTTAGCTTACCTGCCGCCTTCATTTTGTCCAATTTTTAGTTGTTGTCGTTAATAGTGATCATGGTGATGATGTAACAAGCATCGGTATTTTTCAAAATGATTAATCATTATTTATTTTTTTCAATAAAAAATAATATGATAATAGTAATAAATGACTTGAATAAAAGTAGTATATGGTTAAAAGTAAAAATGGTAGTGGTTAATAATTACTAGTTTCCAATTGGAAAATTAGTTGAAAATAATCTGATGGACTAGCCATAAAGGTATTCGGATCATCAACGGTGTCAATAAACCTTTATGTTCCAGCAATCGTTTCAAACAACAACAGCAATCAACATTATTTTTGGAACGAAAAAATAGGGAGAGAGAAAAAAAAACGGAATAGAAACATTGCTGCGCAAGTTTTTATTATTATTATTGTTATTCAGCAAGGGAGAGAGAAATGGAGGGGGAGAAAAATTGTCCGTTGCAAGTTTGTACGCTTTCCACCTGTGATCAATTCGCGTGTGGTTAGCTACATAGGTAGGTAGATAGGTAATTACCTGGCGGTAAAATTAACAACAACGACGACGACGATGATGATGATGATGGAGCATAGTTGTTTCAATTTGAAAATTTTATCATTAGACATTGTAACGTTTTTTTAGAAAAAAATTTTATTTCATTTCAATTTTGGAACAAAACTGAAACGAAACGAACTTTTTTTAAAAAATGACGATGACCTCGCGTGTGCGTGAGGGTTTAGCAAATTATTATTATTTTAGATACCGTTCCATCATCATCATCATTATTATCATCGTGGTAGTCGTTGGTTTTTTTTTGGTAACAACAGATGTGAAAGGTCGAAATTTTGTTGTTGATGATGATAGAGAATGATAACGATAAAAATTTCGGTTAGTCAAAAAAAAAATTTGAAATTTATTTTTTCATCAAATCAAAATAGACAACGACAAACAAACAAAAAAAAAATAACAGAATCTTGAATTGGGAAATCGAGAAATCAAGATGAAGGACACAAGGTAGAACAATAACGACAAGAAATTTTTTTCAGGCACAAGAATTTTGATTGCAATTTCCAATTCTGTGATCAATCAAACTGTACCGATTTTCAAGGCGCCACCACCATACAAAAAAAAATCAATATGCACGACAAAATGGTTTAGGACGAGCGTTAAAATCACGAAATTGTTGTAAACGTAATGATAATGAACTTGATGGACGTGATAATGATAATGGTGTTGTTGCTGCAGATGATAGCGGTGCAAATATTGGACCAGGAATCTGTAATTTTGTAAATGATTGCATCGGTATCGGTGATGATTGTGTTGACCATTGTTGTTGTTGTTGTTGCCATGTTGATGTCCAATATTGTTGTTGCTGTGGTGGTGATGATCGTTGTTGTTGAAAACCACTGCCATAACCATAAAATGCTGGTTGATGTTGTTGTTGTTTAACATTACGGAATAATTTATCACGTGCAGCATCGATTATTGTATCGGTTAAATTTCCATCATTATTATTATTGTTATCAACAATCCATTGTTCAGATTTTTGTGCACGTTTTGTAAATAATGCTTTACCACGTGTTGGATTCACTGTGTTTTGTGTGAAAAAGAGAAAAAATATAAATTAAAATTAATTTAAGTTTTTTTTATTTTAAAACTAGTAAAAAATTGAAATAAACAAAACAAAATAGTTATGTATTATTATGGTTAATAATAACGGAAATTAAAATTAGTCAACAACAGCCGAAAAAAACCCTAAACAAAACAGAAAATGAAACGGATGGATAGATCGGAAATGTATAATCAACGAAACGAAAGCCAAGGAAAAAAATGTCAAGATTGATAAGAGACAGTAAAAAAGATTACAACTCAATTACACACCTGAAGAAGAAGAAAAAGTAAGTAGCTGCTACTGCAGCAGCAGGGGCCACAAAAAGAGACCAAAGAAAATGATGATGTGATTTAAACAACGAAAAAAAAGGAAATGAAAATCGTCATCAAATTGATGCCAACATTTTGACATTTTCCCTCTCTCTCCCTTACTAGTTCATCATCATTGTCAATCTCTACCACCACCTACACCAACAAACAACAAACTTTTCGAAACACAATTGACACACACAGCCAGTGATGACCGGAGATTGATATTCGTTTTTCATTGTTTTGTTTCATTTCATTACTCCATATGAGGTACAATGGTAAAGATAATGTCAACCACCATCATCATTGTCTTGCTGGCACTAAATATATACTATTTGGTAACATGAAAACAAAACAAAAAACATTCGATTCAACCAAATTGATAATTATTCATAGAAAATACGACAAACAAACAACAGATGATGATGATGATGAAGACCCAAAAAAGCCGATACAAAAACAAAAAGGTCAAAGGTTGATAGACTAGGACTAGACAAAGATATCAAAAAAATGATAAGTCTGATGATGATGAGGATCGAAAATAGTAGAAAAATAAAGAGGAAGTGTCATAATCAAAAATAGTACAGGTAAAAACAAAACAACAGACAAGGAAATTAATCAAATCCAAAAAACAAAAATAGAAAAAAATGAATTTAGTAGAAAATTACCGGACACCAAAATAGCTGGCTACCGTATTTTATTTAGGTTAATTTCGGTTGTATTGATGATGAACAAGTTATGAATGAAAATGTATGAAATATAAACCAGCATCACATCTGTATCTGGTATTATGATTGATTTTTTTTCATATTGAAAATAGATCAAATTTGACCTATGGCCTCTGTGGACATCGTACACACCGTAGTAAAATAATAATGACATAGATGGAACAACCGAGAAAAAAATGAGATCATGAAAAAAAGTGACAAAGGTCAAACCAAATCAAAAAAAGAAAATGATAATAATAATTCCAATTGCCAAGGTTGTTCAATCTTCGTCTTTGTTCGTTTGAAAAATGTTCAATTTTTTTAAATATGATCGATAATCAATAATCAAAAAAAAATGATTATAGATTTTCTCAATGAAAATCTATAATCATCATCCATTGAAACAACAAGTTAACACCCTGTAGTTGTTGATTATTTTTAAGAAAATTGTCATCGATCGATTGATTTGAATGTCTAGTAGTAGTAATAAAAGATAACCATGAGAACCTGTTGATGATGAGAATTTTTTTTCCCTGAAAAAGAGTTTTTCTTTTGCTTTAGGTCGAAATTTCGATAAAATTTGGCCAAAAGAAAACAACTTTCCAATTTCAGTTTTCATTTCATTTTTGTCATTTGACCTTTATATACCTGAAAGGAAGTTGTTAAGTTTCAATCAAGAACAAAAAAAAAACGAAAGAAAATTACATAGGTAGAGCATCACACACACCATCAGTGATAAACTTTAACGAAAAGAAATGACGACGACCAATGTTTGTCACTTTCAAGATTTGATTTGATTTTGATCATCAACCAGGTCATCATCAAAATATATTCAGGTAATTCATTTTTTTTTTTGTTGTTTAGTTTGACCTAAAACATCTCATTAGATTAGAATACCTGTCCCGGTATAATAATAATAATCCGTTTCCGTTACTCAAACACACACGCGCACAGGTAAAATCAATTGTTTTTTTCATTTTTCTAAATTGAAAAACAGAACCGAAAATGTTTTTATCATTTCACCGAATCTCTCTCTTTCTATCTCTCAACATGGTCAAAAATAGAAAGAAGGTTAGCACAGTCAAAACACGTGTTCAAGACTTTAGTCAAAAAAAGTTAATTAATTGTCATCATCATCATCATCGTTGATGACATCATCCTGTGCGTAGCCAGATTGTCGCAAAATAATAATAACAATAAAAAAAACATGAATGAATGAACAAAATACACCGAATGTGTGTGTTTGGGTGAAGAAAGAAACGAAAAAGACTTAACCGTAGTAGTAAGTAGTAACCCAGAGACCAGAGAGAAAGAGAGAGAGATAGTAAGATTATTATCTTGTGTGATTCTTTTGTATAAAGCTAGCCGGAAATAATCATAAAAATCATTATTATTTTCGAAACAGACAGCAAAGTGAAAAGAAAAAAACATTTACAGAAATCTACAGGAGAAAGATTACCGGAAATCATAGTTTTTAAAAAATTATCATTAAATAATGATGATGATGATGAGAATAATTTCTGACAATTTTTTTGTTGCTGAAAGTTGGGCGGTTGTAGTAGTAGTTGTAATGAAAAAAAATTGGTAAGATTGATGGCCATTTCAAACAAACAAACAAAATTACAAAGATAATGTGATAAACATTGAAAAAAAATGGTAAATCCTCAGGTAAAAACAAAACAAAAACATTCATTATCCATCCAATTAATTTTTGGATAAAATGAATGAATGAATGAAATATTCAATGACATTCAGTGTCGAGAACATTATCATATTTTTTTTTTTGAATAAAAATCCGATTTGAAAAAATTTTTAAAAAATTTTTAAAAAAATCAAAATCAAATGCAATTTACCTTCAGGTGATGTCAAATCATTGACAATATTTTTACAAGTATCACGTGCATTTGTTTCCTGTGTAATGATTATGTGTTCGTTAACGCCTTGTACGGTGTTGATGTCCTTTTTTTCATTGGTTTTTGGTTTTGCCATTTAAAAAAATCAAGGTTATTAACGATTTATTGATTGATCGATTGATTATCAATCGGAATTAAATGTTGTTTTTGGATGTCATTGGCCAAATTGAAACGGATAATTGTTCAACCAAAATTCAAGGTTTTCAGCAAATTAATTGATCAAATAGGAAGAAGAAAGGAAAAAAAAGAAAATTATTAATCAGGAAAATATTTCGGAAAAAAAGAAAAAAAATTCAATGTTAAGTTATTTGGTTTTTCCGGGAAAATTTCCCAAACTTTTAAAATTAAATAAAGCTATCAATCAATCGAACAATCACTTACATCGACATGTCTTGGATCCAATACAAGACGTAGATTAACTGGACCTGTTTGTTCGTTGAAAAAATTGGTAATTTGAAAAACCCAGCAAAAAAAAACTTTTTTATACAAACCATCCGTTATTGTCCGTTCATGAAAATCATGATCATCTTGATTAGCAATATAATTTTGAAATGAATCTTCATTTTCGGTTATCCATTCGATTGATTTTTCAACACGTTTTTCAAACATTTTTCGTCCTTTTTGTTTTCACAATCAAAAAAACAAGAAAATTAATAAAAAAAATCTTATCTCTGAAACAAACAAATGCTTCTTTGGGTCATAAAAAAAACAACCACCGCATCACTACAATGACCGTTACATAACATGCAAATAATGAAAAAACAAAAGGTCATTATCATTATCGAACAGAATTAGCATCAGTTTGATGACAGGCAACAACAACAACAGATGCTAAACGTGCGCAAAAAGATAACACACTGATCACATTGATGATGATCATTTTGGGTAAAGAAAATGGCTCGAGGGTTATTCATTGTGCGTACCAAAGCGCATCATTGTGTGGCACGTACCATGGTTGAATGCTTCGTCGATTTTTTTTTGTTCACTTGGCACGTGCCATCAATGAAGTGAAAAATTAAAAACGAAAATTTACGAAAATAAACGTTTTTCGAAACATTGTTCGTTTGAAAGTAAATGTTTTTTTGGGGAAAAGCCGTTGTGAAAAAAAGGTGCGTCATCATCATTATCATGGAATGTCCAGATAAATGAATGAATCAACCGCAAATCTTAAAGTGTAAAAAAAACAAACACACAGGGTCCAGGTAAGCAGGCAGGTGTGATGACATTATCATTAACTTTCGCTAATTTTTTCCTATTTTTTTCTTGCTAAATTATTAAACGGTCAAGCAGATATTGATGCGGCGGCGGCTGTGATGACCGTTGTTTTAAGCGCAAACATCAGTGATTTAAAAGAGAAACCGTTGAGTTTTGGGAAAAACTTACCTTTATTTTGATTATTATCACATTTATCCGATACTAATTGTTTGGCTATTTCACGACATAATTTTACCTGTGTTTTCAAAAAAAAAATTGAGAAATTTTTTAACAATTTTTTAAAATTTTAATTTGAAAAAATATTTTTTTTTTTTGGAAAAAAAAGCAATTGAACCTGAACCTATCAACGTTCATAATATATCCAATCATCACCTGTTTAAATTCATTCTATTTCCACCGAAACCGACCATCCACCCATCCAACTATCACAAATTGAATTTTCAATTTAATCATTCGTCATTGTGTCAATTGAAAATACAATTATGACAACCAACAAACAACCAAAAACAAATTTAAAAGAATCGAATATGGATTCTACAAGCAAAACAGAACAAAACAAAACATCATCATCATCATGGTATCACATTGTTCCCGAATGAAAAGTCAAAAAACCGATAACCATAATGGAAAAAAAATTCAATGAAAAACACAATGGACATTCAAACAACAAAAAACATCCATACAAAACAAAACGAAAAATCTACCTTGAAATACTGATTCTCATTCAAACATTGAGAGAATTAAAAAAACATCCGAAAATGAATTATCTACAATAACAACAACAAAAAACAACAGTGGAAATTCAGGTGGAAATAGCCATTTTTGTTTGAACCAGAAAAACCAAAGAAATGATGATGGTGAATTATAATATGATGAAAATAAAAAAAAAACAGGAAAATGAAATAGAGAGAGAGAGAAGAAGGGAAAAAAAGAGGAATCGCGCTTCGATTGTCACAATAGCCATCAATGCATGACGCCAATCATCATCATCCATAATGATGATGATCATCATCATCTTCATGGATGGTACCTTTTTATTTCTTGGGAATGATGGGAGCATCAAACAAACGAGATCATCATTCGCATACACAAAAAAAAACAATATTCGGATCCATCGAACCATATCCATATCCCAAACAACCAAACAAACAAAACAAAAAAAAAACATCCATTCCATTTCGATAAGGCAGTGAACCTGATTATCATTATCATCATCATAATAGTAAAAAAATGGTGAATGGTGACATCAACCTTGCAAGGTTGATGATCATTATTATCATTATATAATGGGTAGGAAAACAAAGGTAAAAAAACGAAAAAAAATTCTGTCAACATTCTGCTCTAGATGATGGCTACCTGTGTTTATACCTAACTAATCAACCAACCATATCATCTATTTTAACTAATAGCAAGACTATAGAAAAACTAGGATGTAATGCCATACTCTTTTTTTTATTGTTTGTTGTTGTTTTTGTTGTTGTAAATTTAATGTATACAATCGAATCGATTGATGAATTGGCGCCTAAATTTTTTGTTTCAATTTTCCAAAAAAGATGGGTCGGGTCAAAATAGTCACAGGCTATTTACACCCAAGATTTCCTATTCAAAAAATTTTTTCCATCTTTAAGTCATCATTATCATCAATCAATCATTTCTTTTCGAATGGAAATAAGAAAATTTTCAACAACAACAACAAAATTTTATTACCAGGTTGATTAATGAAACATAATGATGGTGATAGACAGGTAAATTGAAAGAATAACAAAACAAAACAAAAAACAAAACGGCAAATTGAATTTTGTCATCAAAATCAAATCAAATTGGGAAAAACAACGAAACAAACAAACTTGACATTGAAAAACAACAACAAAAAATCAAATTTCAATTGAATTTCAATCTGCAGAAGAAAAAAACATATTAAATGTTTTAAATACCACACCAAATTTGTTTTTTTTTGTGTAAAAAACTTTTTTAAAAAACATTTCACAACGCCCAAATCAATTCAATTGAGATTGAATGACTATTTTTCTGGATGAAATCTTTTTAAAGTTTTTGCAAACAATCAAAACATTGTCAATTTTGAAACAAATTAATAAACCACCAAAAGAAAATCTATTCAAAATTGAATTTTTAAAAAAATCGTTTTTTTGTCATTACCGATGACAATGGCGAAATGAAAAAACGATAAAAGAATAAGAAAAATCTAGATCATCAAATGAACGAAAGGCCATTGAATGAAACTTTGAAAGAATATTCTTTTGCTTACATTTGCAAAAAATAGAAAAAATGTTTCATTTTAACAAGCAAAACAAATTCAAATTCAAATTCTTTCTTTCTTTATGATCAATTAATTTTAATTAACATTTAAACAAACAAAATAAACTCTTCTTGAAATTCTTGTTCTCGTTCTTTCCCACTCTGAATTCAAATCAAATGAGAAAATCTGTTGATGAATCGAAATTCATTGATAATGACAATGTGTGATATATTCTCTCACTTTCACACTTTTTTATCAATAGAATTTGGCCAGCATCCAAAGTTCTCTAATGATATTGAATGAATGAAAGCTAAAATAAGAAAATTTACCTGTTCTTCCAATGTTGGATGCTGTTCAGGATCATAAAATGATGATGATGTAAATATCGGTCGACTTGATGATTTTTGTAATGAAAAATTATTTTCATCCAATTTCGGTGTTGCCTCGGCATTCGATTCCGAAAGGCTACGTTGTAATGGTGGTTTATTATTATTATTATCTGTTGTTTGTGTCGTTTCTGTTGATTTTGATTCACATTTTGGTTGTTGTTCGTTATCGATGAATGATTTGCATTCAATTTCCACTGCAGATTTACCATCAACATCAACATTATCACCACCGCCGGAATTTGATTTATCCGCATCAATATTTAAATTATCATCTTGATCATCGTTTGGTGTAATAGTTTCTGTTGATATTTCAGTAGCTGTTGTTACTGTTGGTGTTAATGTATCTGGATCTTGTTGTTCGGCACTCATAATTGATTCAGGGTTTTGATCATATAACCACCAATGATTATCAATTGATTGGTGATTTGGATTATTAATTGGCTGAAAATATTGTTGATGATTAAAATGAAGAAATTGTTGATTATTTGTTGGTAAAAATATTGTTGAATATAATGGTGGTTGTAAGGAAAATGATTCTTTTTCTTGTTGTTTTGGTTGTTGAATTTCAATACGTTGTAATAGCGGAGGTGGTGGTGGAATCCAAGTTCGTTTACTAGTTATTTTACGTCCAAATTTTATCCGTACACGTGGTGGCGGTAAATACTGATATTGAAATAGATTCGGTTTTGTTGTAGTAGAAGTGTTATTCAATGATGTCTTATTTCGGTAAATTAAGTGAGTAAATGATTAGACAAAAACAAAACAAAACGGGAAAAAAAGGATTAGAAAAGAAAAAACTAAAAATAAATCCAAGAGCAAAACAACAACAACAAAGTGCTACCAATATAATCGATCATATGATCATCAACGTCGAAGCCGCCGCCGCATCAACAATTTTTTTTGCTGATGATAATTTAGAATTGGCACCGATTATATCGATTGTTTGTTTGAATTCAAAAAAAAATCGATGCTGTTGTTGATGATGATGATGGATATCAAACAATCAAACAACAATGACATGCAGTAAAAAAGAAAGAAAGAAAAATCGTTTTCTTTGTTTCGGGAAATGATGCGGCAACCAAATAAAAATCAAACAGAATAAATGAATGATGTTATTGTTTTTTACGATTATTATTCCTAAGCATCAATAATAAAAAACAAACATCTACAATACTCACACACATATCATATTGCTATAGAATATTCTTCATATTTATTCTGTGACTGTGTATGAATGGTTATTTTGATGATGATGAAAACACAGTTTTTTTTCTATTTACGAAAAAAAATTCTTTCATTTCAATTCAAGATGCTTGCCAAAAACCGAAAACGAAAGAAACGAAATGCCAAAAATAAAATTGAAAAAAAAAATAAAAAACACCAAGACAAATATCAATCGACAGATTTTCTTTTCAAAGAAATTTCATCTTTTTTTTGAAAAATATTTCCTAGAATTTTTCCCCCAATAGGATGATGAACTAGAGGAAAATCTTGAAAATTGTCGGAAACCTTGAAAATTCTTACAAATTTTTTCAAAAGAAAACTTTGTAATTCTATTTTTGAATTAAGCTAAAAACAACCCAACAACGGTCATTAACAACATCATCAATGATGATGATAACATCAAAAATTTCCTCATTTTAAATTGTGATAATGTCAATGAATTTTTCTTTCTGTAACATTTTTGGTTCATTGACATAGAATAAAGAAGAGAAAAATTATTCATTCATTCAAATTGATTGAAAAGAATTCAGTGTGTGTATGTGATTTCGTTTGCTACATTCATTCGTAAATCATATTGAAATTCCAACGATACAATCAACTTGATTGTTTCGCGGGTTGACAAAGATATTTTCATTGAAATAACACGTGTTTTTTCATATGTGTTATTTGGGTTGTTTGTTTGTTTGTGAAAATCTACATTGAATTGAGAATTGTAAATAAAATTATCATTATTCGGATGAACCATATGGATTTTGTTTTGTTTTGTTGAATGCAAATAGAAAGTGAAAAAACACATTCAAATTAATTCAATTTTATCAATGTTTGCTTGCTGTGCTTATTGAATCGATCGTTTCGGGAAAATTAATGCATCTCGTCGTCGGTGCACACACTTTGGGAAAATTTTCCGGAAAATTATAGCCAACAAAAAAAAATTCCGGAAAAATTTCCAAAAGTATTATCATGGCAAAACCGAAATAATTCCATAACGAATCAATTTAAAAATCATCATCATCATCATTGGGAAAAATTCACACGCGTGTTTTTTACATTTCGTTTCTAACGTGTTTGCATCGACAATAACAATCATATCATTTGAAAGAAAATATCACCAAAAGACAAGCATATCAAATTCATTGACACACCATATATACAACACAGTTTTTCTCCCAACAAAAAAGTTAATGCACGCAAACATTGTAAAAAAATAAAAATTGCGGGCGCGTCAAATTGCTAAACAATTAAGTTGTGTTCCAGAAAAACAGGAATTTTCATATATCGATACAGTGTATGAATGTCAGAATGAATGAATTGGATGAAGCAATCTTGTTAAGTTACAACGAAAAAAAATTGAATCCAATAAAAAATCCATTTCAGATCATCATCATCATCATAATGATGATAATGGTGGCATGAAATCTATTACAATGTAAATTATCCCAAACAGTACAGCACATCACACTAACCATAGTGAATCGTCGACTTGATCATCATCATCATCATTATTATTCTGTGTATAGTCAATTTCAATCGAGAATTCTTAAATCTAATTTTCATTCGAATAAATATTGATGCTATGCGAATACATACCACCGTGAAACATACAGCAGAATTGAATGCAAAAAAAAAACATTACATTATTTGGGCAATAGACCGACCAGACCGAACCAGATTGAATTTTAGTACACTCAATGAGTGTAGCAGATCATTATGTTGTTTTTTGTTACCAAAAACACATTTAATAATGTGATTATTGCATAGATTTTGATGGGTTTTTTTCTCTCTCTGGATATTGTAACGATATTGGTCGCGGAATCTGGAAAAAAAGAAATTAATTGATTGATTGAATGAATGGATGAAAAAAGGTGTGTTTCAATAGAATCCTGTTGGTGGTATGTCCAATTCAATTATCGTCAATCATCAAACAAACAATAAACAAGAATCTCTAATCCAAATCCCCAGAATCGAATGAAAAAAAACCAAAACAATCTGTTTCGACAGAACTTGTGAGCCAAAAAAAAGCTATTTTTACTAAAAAAGGTTCGTTTTTGGTTTTCCGTTGTTTTTGTTGCTCATCATCATCATCATCATCATTAGATTTTCGTGGTTAACAATCATTTTTCATTCATTCATTTTTCAATCATTTAATCGCATGCAATTTGTCAAAATAATGAATGATTAACATGTGATGATCACGATTATCATCAGAACAAAAACGATTAAACACGCGTTATACATACGCCCCTTTTATTTAGGTAACAACAAAAAACAAAAAACTTACTTGAATGAATTTAGGTTTTGGTGGTATTGTTGGCTTGATTGTTGTCGATTGTGATTCTTTTTTCGTATTTGGTAATGGTGATGATATTCGTATAGCTTTTTGTTTTACCGGCCTTCGTTCATTCAACCAAACTGATGCGGGTGGAAATTCTTGAAGATTATTATCATTATTTGTAATCAGATCCGATGATGATGATGTTGTTGTCGATACACCCATCAGATTAGCAATAAAATTATGCCAAAATTTTAACTCTTTCATTGGTGCCAATTCGGCCAAAATTTCATTTAAATTATTGCTATCGATTTTCATTTTCGTTGTTTTTGTGACCCAGAATTACCAGAAAAACGAAAACAAACCAGCGGATGCTGATGGATTAATTAAATTTACATTTACAGATGTTTATGAAATTTGATGCCAAACAGTGGAATCGAATCAAATTACATCAATAAAAAAACAAACAAACAAAAAATATCATTGATAAGATCATTGACGTTCACTGTCTGCCGCTGTTGATGTTGGGTGATGAAATTTGATTCATCATGATGATGATCCAAATGTTCGTTGTTCCGTATCTGTTGTAATGAATGTATTCATCGTCGATCAAATAAATAATCAAAATAAAATTAGAAACATTGCAAAAAAAATAAACAAAGGAAACTCAAAAATTACATTATCGATGATGAACGAGTTGAAATAGTGGACAATCAAATCGAATATTTGTGAAACTGATGAACGAGTAGTATCGGATGGTTTTATCGATTATGTTCGAAAAAAAATTGTTCGAAATGTTCAAATCGAATCATCAAATGATGATTACCATGATGATGATCAATCGATCAATATTTTTTGATGCAAAAATTCAACATCAACGGTAGTGGTTTTTTTCCTACAATGATTACCATCAAAAAAATAATCCATACATTTCTATTTTTACCGCTATTTCAATCATCATCATCATCGATTGTTTATATTATCTTTGTGTATGTTTATGATTCAAACTCAATTTGAATATTGGGAGAAACAAACTCATTACAAATTTATGCCAGATTCTTTTTTTGGTAAAAATCATTACTGGCATCCATATCAAAAAGTTGTCTGACATGACGATGGCCAATATAAACAAAAATCCCAACGAAACACAAATGTTATTCAAAACAAAAATTTGAAAATTGAAATAATAATTTTATTTTTACTTTTCTTTCTTAATGCATATTATTCTAGGACAAAAATGAAAACAAAGAATCATCACAAAATGAAATGAAAATATGATTGACTTGGAATTATCGTCAATATGGATTATCACGAAATCACGAATCTAATGTTATTCCTGTAATTCTTCATGTTGTTTTAATAATTCAGCATAACGTGCCTGTAGCGACCTCTCTCGTTCTTCTTGTCGTTTAACATCTTGTTTTAATTGTTCTAAACGTTTTTCAATAGCATTATCTTCACGTACTTTCAATGCTTTGAATGAATATAATTCCAAATGTGATTGTTCGATTTGTTGCCAATATTCAAGAAATTGTTTGGACATTTCTTGTGAACGTTGATGATAACCACCCAATAGAATGGATAATTTTTTTTCAATTTTACCTGCTTTTTTTGCTTCACGTGTCATATGACGACGATTCTGTTCTAAACGTGATTCAATCGATTCGATACGTTCACGTTTTGATACCATCGATGCCTTTGTATAACGATTCTGTGCAGGTAAATATAATAATTGTGAATAACATTCATCCCAAATTTTTGCCATATCTTCAACGGATAAATCATTATCATCATGTTCCATTCCATTTTTCAATGAAGATATTTCATCATTCAAAATTTGTTTTGCTTTCAATAGATATTCATTTTCAATCGGTTCGATTGGATTTTTTTCCAAATACATAGCCAATTGTGTTTCATAATTTTTCGATTCAGATTTTGCTGTTTTTGATTTGATCGCAGCAAATGTCAATTGATCATCAGTTGGATTCATTAGTGCATCAAAATGAAGAATTTTTATCATTTCCTGTCGAATAAGATCTTCAGCCTGTGATAATGGTCCTGTTGATGATTGTTGTTGTTGCTGCTGCTGCATTATTGATAATGTTGCACGAACATCACATGGTCGTGGTAAATTACGTCGTACAGCTTGTGTCCATTTTTGTTCATTCATTATACGATCTTGTTCACGTTTACGACTTTCAGCATCAATTTCACTTTGATCAATAATCATTTTATTATCATTATCATCACCATCTTGATCTTGATTTTTTTCACCATCATCATCATCGATTGATTTATCATTATTCAATACAATTTCATATTCGTTTTTTGGTTGTGGTAATTTCGAAAATGCTTTTCGAAGATTTTCCTTTACCGTTTTGGTATATTGTTTAGGATCTTGTTGTGCTTCTAATGCTAATGATTCTTCTGGATTGATTGATAATTTATCACGTACAGGTGTTGAAAGTGGTGTAAAACCATCTTGAATATTACCAGTACCAGGTGTATTCGATACTAATGGAACTAAAGCATCATTGTTTGCCGAAGATGATGATGATGGTCCTGAAGTTATTGATCGATATGGTGTTGATATCATTGTATTTGGTGTTGCACCAGTAGCACCACCAGTAGATGAAATATTTGTAAAACCTGCTGGTGTTCGAATACCTGCCGGTGTTTGTCCACCAACATCGATTAATGGTGCATTTTGTCCACCCAACAATGGTGTATCAACATTTTGTAACGCAAGTAAATTTTTTGCTTCAGCCATTATATTATCACGACTAAATGCAGCTGTTTTTGGTGTACGTATTGAATTTACTGCCGATGATGTAATCGAATAATCAGCTAATAATGTTTCGGATGCAATATTACCCGTTTCTTCGGCAACATCTTTAGCTAATTCACTTGCACGTCCTAATTTTACTACCTGTTCAATTTCTTGATCCGATATTGCCGGTTCAGGTAATACTAATTTGGAACGTGGTCGTTGAAATTCATTTTCATCAATATTCAATGATGATGGTATGCCATTCTCTTTTTTCTTTTTTAATTTTTCTTTATCTTTTTTACGTTCACGTTCTTCACGTACCGAAGGTAATTCACCTTCTAATTGTTGTTGTCGTAAACGTTTGAAATCTAAACCACCTGGTTCATATGAATCATCCGATGTATCATGAAAACCGGCAGGTACTGTTTTTTCAAATGGAACTTCACCATTATAATCAATATGACGACGATGTTTCCAATTTCTTATATGAAGATTAATACCGGCCATACGTAATTCCCGTCGTTTTTGCAATTGTGCCAATCGTCTTGCTTCTTCCAATTGTTTTTCTCTTGCTTTACGTTTAGCTTTTTTACCTTGGGTATTGGCTAAACGTGCACGTGCTTCGGATAACATTTCCAATTCATCTTCATCCATATCTTTTGGATCAGGACGTGCTGGTTTTGTTTCAGGATTTGGATCAATTTCACCTGGCTTCAATTTTCTTGGATCATCTAAACTTGTACCTGCTGCATTTTTATCTTTATTCTGCACCTGATCCAATAATTGTTCATAATGTTCCAAACATTGTGATGCTGTACGACCAACAATCGATGCAATCGTACGCCATTGTGTTGGCATTAATCGTACCAGATTAATCAATTTTTCTTCCTCTTCTCTTGACCATTCTGTTTTTTTAATACTTGGATCTAACCATTCATACCAACGTGCTTTACATTGTTTTGCCGATTTACGATGTAATAATGATGCTATTCGTGACCATTGATTTTTACCATATTTCATTACAGCTGCTTTAAGAATTTCATCTTCAGTATTACGCCAAACACCACCTTTAATTAGAATTCGTCCCATGATTATGATTGTTTATCGGTAGGTATTATTCACAATTTTTAAAAAATGTCAAACGAAAAAAACAACCGAAAAAACGTTTGATAAACAACACACATTGAGCTTTGACCAATAAAGGACGAATCTAATCGATAGAATCGATACCTAATAATCTTGATACTTATTCTTGTCACTAGATGGTGTTCAATTCAAAAAGATTGAAAATATTTGAAAAATAAAATTCAAAATTTAAAAATAAAATCACCCGCTCAACTCGTGATACTCATTATATTAGTACATTCACTATACACACTCATATAGTGTTGAACTCAAATTTTCCAAGGTAAACAATGTATATGAAGATGATGATGGTTAATGTAAAGTGATTTGAACCGTTAAAATGTTTTAATGTTTGAAAGAAATTTGAATTTTGGCCCTCTACACTTTTTGTTGATAATATTTTTATATTTCGGCACATACGAAAATCAAATCAAATCGATCACGGTTTGAATGAGTGGTAAATAATGCGACAAAAATAAAGAAAATTTAACAATTTTACTGAAATAAGTAAATAAAATTAGAAAAAAAATCATTCGAAAATTTTTAAAAAATATAATTAATTAATTAGTCATAGTCATTAACCTAACCTCACTCAACTATGAATCATACCCATAGACATAGTCATCAACCTAACCTCACTCAACTATGAATCATAGGCATAGTCATAGTCATTAACCTAACCTCACTCAACTATGAATCATAGGCATAGTCATAGTCATTAACCTAACCTCACTCAACTATGAATCATACCCATAGACATAGTCATCAACCTAACCTCACTCAACTATGAATCATACCCATAGACATAGTCATCAACCTAACCTCACTCAACTATGAATCATAGTCATAGGCATAGTCATTAACCTAACCTCACTCAACTATAAATCATTATGACCCTTATACTTGGCAACTTAATTAATTATACAATTAAAAATTAATTTTTCCAAATGTTGATGATATTCGATACGGGCATCAAACAAACAAACCGACAAAAATGTACAATATTTTATTTCCTCAAAAATCATATATTTTTGGAGAGAAAAAAAATGTCAAAAATGAATTTTATTTTCGCCTCGGTCACACATCATCATCATTAACGACAGAAAAAAATATGATGATATGGCTATGATAATGATGACAACAAAATTGGAAAAAAATGAAACAGTCAAAAAAACCGCACATGAAGTAATGATATAATGGTAAAACGAAACAAATCCAAATTCAATGGCCTATAGAATTGTACATTTTTTTGATGAAAAAAATAAATCATCATTTGTTGCTCTCTCAATGTTGATATTATTGATCATTCATCGATCTCGTGGCTGGTTGATGCTTGCGACGAAACAAATTTCGTCAATCATCATCATGTCTATAAGATTGACAAACGAGAAAAGCAAAAATAAAAAAAAGTACACACTGCATACTTTCATGTAAACAAAACAATTTTTTAATTGATTTAATCAAAAATATATTGGCCATCCACATCCACATTGACATTATCATCATCGACTCTCGTGACCAATTCACCAATGAATGTGTTGAATGTTTTTGCTTTTTTCTTTTGGTTTCGAACATTTTAAAAACGTTCGATCTTTGGATCATCGATGACAATCGATGTTTAAAACTCAATAATCGATAGTCAGGATGATGATTGATGAAAAAGCCGTGTTTGGTTAGATATTTTTAGTTTGTTTAAGATTTTTTTTTGTGGATATTTTTGTCTGTGATGAAAATGAAACCAAAAAAATCTAAAAACAAAACAGAAAAAGTAATTTTTCCAACAAAAATCTTGTTAAATTGAAAAAAAACAACCGACTGGGCTGAAATATCATTATTTTTCCATCAATCAATCAATCGGACAAAAAAGACAAAAGAATTTCAGAAAAATTAATTTAAATTTTTGTTTCGAAAATTGGAAAAAATCAATCTCCATATTTAAAAAAACAAAATTGATACAATTATCATCCACATCATCGTTGATGGTAAACGCCTTGATTAATGATTTTGAAAAGAAAAGAAAAATTGTTTCATTTCATTTGATGATTATCCTCGTTCTTCAATGACAAATTGAATATCAGAAAGAAATCCAATTTTCTTTCTTTCTCTTGTTTGTATTTTATTGACATATCAATATTTCATCTTAAACTCAAGCAGCAGCAGCAGTCAGTTAGTTAGTTAGTTTATTTTGTCAATCGATTCAATCAACCATATGATGATGATGATGATAATGTTCAATCATGTTGAACAAAATCCTAAAATGAAGAAAGAAAAAAAGAAAATTTTTGGTTATTATCAATCAAAAATGATTTGATGATATTATTTTTTTCTAGAAAACAAAACAAAAAAAAATTTCTTCCCACCAAGGAATTCCGGAAAATTTTGTTTTTCAATTCAACGAAAGAGAGAGAAAGGCAGGATTCAGTTACAAATGCTGGTGTAACAATCTTGTGCAAATCAAATGAAAGAGAACGAGACAAGACAAAACATATTCATTTCGAAGTCAAAAACATACCTGGTTGTTTTGTTGTTGAAATGAATTTTTTTTTTTGTTTTAAAAATTTCAGTTTTCAATTTTTCTCATTTTCGTTGTTGTTGTTGTTTTTTCCAGTCAAATCATTCAGTCTGCTAGTGATATTCAATGGTGATGTAATTTGATATTTGTCACATCATCATCCTCGTTAATTTGTCACAATCTTATTTACGACATTTAATTACGACAATAACAACATCGTTGCCGTCAAAGAAACGAAATCAGCAAACCTAATTAATAATTAATAATTAGAATGTGAACAAAATTGATTCGATTTGATTGATCGATCAATTTGTTTGCCAAAATGAATCCTGGCCTTTGAACAGGATTTGTTTTTCTTGGTGCTGATGAACAAAATGTACTTTTGAAGAGAGGGAGATGATTTTCTAAATTGATGATGAAATACATTGGTACATTGTCAATCAATCATCATTACCATAAATGATCAAATCGATAATTTTCCAATGACGAATTTCATCAGCGATAGAAAATTGGTGAAATTCGTTCATCTTTAATGATAATCATTTTGTTCGATCTTAACGACGACGACCATCAATATTTTCAATATTTAAATTATCATCTTTTGGGTGCCCACGAGTGTCACATGAAATCAATAATTTTTTTCACGTTGTTGTTGTTGACATTCGAATTCGAAGAAAATACCAAAATTGATCCATTGCCAACAAATAAAATCTATTTCCACTCAACAAGTCGTCAACAAGCAAATTATTTTGTTTTTTCCTCTTTTTGGTGAGTTGGAAGTATGTTCCATCGGGTTTTTTCCATCTTTTTTCTTCTAATTTCTAATTTCGATTAACTAAAAAAAGAAACATTTTTTCAAACATCAAATGTACATTACTCATCGATAAATCAATCAATCAAAATCAAATCCATACGGCCACATTTTTTCACATTATCACAATTTTTCAAATTCAAGTCTTTTGATTGATTGATTGATTTTTGTTTCAGAAAAATATCCTAGCGTCAATGATTAGCATGATTAGTACGTTGATAAAAAGTGATAAACAAAAAAAAAACTTTGAAAGTATCAAGTTTTCATCATTATCATCATCACTACTGACAAATCACATCACAAGGGTAGTTTACGAACAAATTTCCTTTAATGGGCTGACCATTTTTATGTTTTTCTCCCATATATAAGCCATCATCGTCGATCAATAATTTTGACGAACCAATTTTGATCAAGAAAATCTGTTACTTTGTGAAATTTTTTATTTTATTTTGATTTTGTTTTGAAACGAACCAAACAAACAAACTCGACGAACTCAAAAAAATGGCCATCCAATTTCAAACATTCGAATATAATATTATTCGTTCGATGGCGACTATTTCGATCATTTCATTAATCATCATATCTGTTTATCAATTAAATCTAATATTGGAATTATTAAAACGATTGACCGATGATTTTGAAGAATTAGATTCAAGATATCAACGTTGGATTGGTAAAAATTCATCCATCGCTAAATTAATGTGGGAACCATTACGAAATGGTGCACATTCAATGTTGGAAAGACATGGTATGTGTTGTTTTTCTCTAAAAATTCAAATGATTTTAATTTAATTTTATCATTTTTCATTCGATTTAGAACCGGCAATCCTAATGAATGTTGTCATTTATTCATCGGTAATCGCATTATCAATTGTTGGTTTAGTTGCCGCTATACGTCGACATAAAATTATGTTAACAATATATGCATTTGCATTGAATCTAATCTATCTAACAAGCTTTATTTATTGTGCACGTGTACCATCATTTTATTGTTCGATTATTGTATTTGTATCGATTATTGTTTATTTACGATCACATCATTTATGGTCGAAAAATTCTGAAGATAAAATCCATTTAATACAGGCTAAATTATCATCATCATCCGATCATAATCATCATCATCATAATCATAGCAATATTGTCTGAAACTTGACTATCTTTTTCATTGTAAAAATACATTATCATTATCATTCCATTTTTCAATTTTTTGTAATTTTTAAATTCATTCATTCATTTTTCGAATATAAATCATAAAATTTTTTAAATTTCAAAAAAAAAATCAATTTTAACCTAAACAAGTGTTTCATGTTGATATAGCAAAGCTGCTGCACACCCACGCTCAATTTTCAATCAAATTAAAATCGGTAAATATTTCCTTTTCTCTGAATCAAAATTCATTGATTTATTCCGCATATTTGGTTGTTGTCGTCTTCGTCGTTGAAAGTTAATTTTATTGTGTTAAAGAAATGGACGACGAAGACAATCAATCATCATCCGATACTTTGAAAAGAAAACTTGATGAACACCAACAACAACAACAACAGCCGGGTGATGAGAATAAAAAATTAAAAACAAATAATCAATCTGATCAGCCAATACCATCATCATCATCATCAAATGATTCATTGGAAGAGATAAAAATTGATTCAATTGAATTGAATTCATTATTTCTGAACGAATTGGATGAATTGAGAAAATCCTACAAAGAATCTACCGAATTAAAATCTGAACATTCTGCTACAATCATAAACAAACCATTCAAAGTTGTACAATTTCATAATTTCATCGAAAATGATCAACTAATTTTGCCACAAATTCTTCATGCTGCTAACACTACTCCATTACAAAGACGTTCGAATGATCTTTATTCATTACAACAATCACGTGATTTAAAAAATTATCCATCATTGAAAAATATTGTTGAATTTTTTCAGATTAAAGTAAAATCATTTTTAGAAAATTTAACCGGATTACAGCTAAACAATAACGTAGCCTTAACATTTTCAAAATATGAACAAAACGGTAATACAGATCTATTTTGGTAAACAAAAATCTAATTCCCTCGAATTTTCTATAGATTATCTCCTTTGTCATGATGATCAACTTGAACAACGTAAAATTGCATTCATTTTATATCTAGTCGATGAACAATGGTCCGATGTTGATGGTGGTCAATTGGAATTATTTGCAACCGAATCGACCCCATCATCATCTAAAGATGAACAACAATATGATCAGCAACCATCCGAAATAGCGGCCCGTTTAATACCAAAATCAAATACATTGGCATTTTTCGAAGTAAATCGTTCATCATTTCATCAAGTCGGTGAAATACTAACTGATCGATCACCACGTTGGTCATTGAATGGTTGGTTTCATTCGGACGATGTTATTGTTGGTGAACAGCATTTTCTTTATCCACAATTACCAACATTTCCTGAAAGTGAAATTCTTGAAGATGATCTGACCGAACATTTTCCGCAATGGATAAATCCAATATTTTTACAAAATTTCATACAAAAACAGATTCGTTTAAGTTTTAAAAGAAATTCCGAGATTCAATTGAAAAATTTTTTAAATGAAGATAAATATGAACAAATTCAATCGGCATTATCGTCCGAATCGGTACGGAAACTTTGGCATAAAAATTATCGGCCATTATTTTTTCGTAATCATATTATTCGTCATGATGAAGATTTTCAAAAATTACCCGATATTCTTAAAGAATTTTATTTATTAATTAATTCAAAAAATTTTTATAAATTAATCACAACAATGACTGGTGTTACGTTTGTTGACAAACGTAAGTCGTCAAAAAATCAAAATGGAAACGCTAACAACAACAATGATGATGAGGATGTTCAATTGATAAAAGAACAACCATCTACTTCATCATCATCATCATCAACAACAGCAACAACGACATCAGAAACGAAAACAAAATTTGATTATAAAACTCGTGGTGCAATAATCGAATGGGATCATGGTGATTATTCATTATCATCGGATATTAACCCTGATATTAATGAACGTGCATTGGATTTGGATTTCTTTTTCAATGTGCCAAGATTACAGGCGAAAAGTACGAAAAAATTTGGTGATCAAGAAATTATTGATATTTCCGATGATGATGATAATGGTAAAAGTGAAGATGATGATGAAAAACCGGTTACAACAAAAGAAAATAAATCAGATAATGCCAAAGAATCAAATAATCCAACAAACAAGCCGAAAGAAGAAGAAAAACAAAATGAAAATGAATCAAAATCGGAAGCAAATAAAATTTCGATAAAAGAACCAGAGCTGATTGAATTGGATAGCGAAGATGATGATGACATTGAATTTGATGAAGAAAATGAAGACGACGAAGACGAAGATGAAGATAATGAGGATGATGAAGAATATGATGACGAAGATGAAATGGATGATCATTATCGTCATCTACATGGTGGTGATGATAATCATCATTCAACAACAACAACAGCAAAAGGTGGTGGTTATATTGCCTATATAACCGATGATTCCGATGAACAAGTATTAGAAATTGAACCAAATAACAATGTTCTGAATATTGTTTATCGTAATTATCAATGTCAACGTTTTATGAAATATATTGATCATTCTAATTTACGTACACCATTTCAACATATATCGATTATATTTACTGATCAAAATTGATCGTATGTCTATGATGGTTGAATTTTTTTGCATTATTATAATTATAATTATTGTATTCAATGAAATAAAAAAGGATGAGAAATTTTTGTTTTGTGGAAAAAATTATTCGATGATTAAATGATGAAATTGTGATCTATTTATGTTTATAATTACGTCCATGTGGTCCTTTTACAAAACACCATGAAACGGATATATTTTGTCCATACAATTCCGAACCATTTAATGCTTCTAATGCAGCTGTTGCTGAACGAAATGTTTCAAATTCAACTAATGCATAGCCTTTATAGAAACCGGTACGACGATCCAGATTGATATGTATGTTGGTTATTTGTCCGTATTCAGCAAATTTTTGATAAACATCATCTTCATCAACTTCTTCGTGCACACCGCTTACGAATAGAATCCAACCTTCGACAGCTGAAAAAAAATTAATAAAATAATGTGATTAACAATAAATTCAAAAAAGATTTCATTACATTTTTGTGGTCCTGGTTCATTGCCTTCACTTTCGACACTTTCATATTGGCCATAATTTCCACGATTTACCGTTTCTAAATCAAGAAAATCAAAATTCAAATCAAAACGAAATAATGTTTCGGGTTTCAATTTACCTTCATCAAATCCACGTCCTTTACGTTTTGTTGCTTTTTCTTTAATTTTCACTACAGTTTCTATTGACATTAAGTTAGATTGAAAATTATTTCAAAAAAAAAAATTCATTCGCTTACCATCTTCATCAAATTCTTGTTCAATATTTTGTGGTGCTAATTCCAATTCGTCTGACATTATTGAAAGTTTTAAAAATGTCAAAAAAAAACTAAAAAAAGAGAACTTTCAAACAAACAAAAGAAGACAAATACCGCGTGAGTATCGAAAATAAATTTTATTCATTTCACCAATATTAACCGATTAAGGTTGCTCATGTATAAATAGTCGACTTTTTAGATGCAGCGCGAAATTTAACAAAATTTATTTATTTTTATTATCGCAATACGTTTTTAACAGGTTCGCTACCAGCGACGCATATGTGCGTCGTTTTAGTTCTTTATTTTGAACCCGACGACGCAAATATGCGTCGTTTTTGTATTTACATTTAAGCAAATATGCTTGGTTTTAGTATTAACATTTGATCGAATTTGCGTCGTTTTTGTTTTTACATTAGATCGAATATGCTTGGTTTT